CAAAAAGGTTAGTTTCAAAAAAGAAAAATCAAAAGAGTGATGATGTACAGTATCTACAGTACTGTAGTACTTACTGTATATTAAAAAAATTAATGAGTACAGTCCATAAGTGGGTGAAATGGCTACAGAAATTTGAACTTCTGAGTCAATGTTGCTAATAAAAAACTGACTACTGATGCTAGTGTTTCACAGATCTCTGATCTATTCATATACTTTGCTCTAGGCAATAATGGTAGATGTAGTCATCTGTATTTTTTCTTGTCTATAACAATCCACCTTATCACAGTTGCCTAATCAAATGAAGCTTTGAGCAGTTTAAGAAAGTTCAATTTACAGAGTGGAGTGGAGCCTAATATTGCTTTATGAATTATTTCTAAGTTACTTAGTTACTAATAAGACAGATCTGATTTTTGCCAAATTAACAAACAGTAGGGTAGTAGTGATTTAAACAGTTTACATCCTGACAATTATTTATTAAACGGGTTGTAGAAGGGCAGGTGGGAGTTAAATCCAAAATGTTGGTTGATAAAGACCTGGCAAGATCAACATTGGCTTAAAGAATCCATTTATTTTACAGTAATATCTTCCTCTTTGAGCAGATTAAATTTTATCTGACGGTAAATAAGATGAAAGTATTTTACTAAACAGTCATGATACAGTATGTACCTGCCCCTTCACTGTCTTGAGTGAAATCATCTTTTTTGTTTACAGATACATCTTAATGTGTGGTTGCTATATAATTTAATGGATTTAGAAGACTATTATATGCTATTATCCAGATTGCCAAAAAAGAAATATTACTAGTTTAAGAATTTATGGGATATACCTTCTGAGTCACTGTACAGTAGTCTTATTAAAAAAATGTTCTAAAACTTAAAGACTTTGTTTGACTATTATGGTAAAATAAGGCCACCCTGTTTTGCTTTGTTAGTGATAAGGCTGGAGGTAATGAGTTAGAAAATGATCTCTTTTGGCAATGGATAGAAGCATCTAAAAAGCAGAGAGATGAGACTTGGAAAATATTCTATTGGAGTTACTTTCTCAGATCAGATTGAATATTACAAAACAGTACACAAGGCAGAATTTTGAAATTGTAGGTATACTGTGTTTAGACAGAAACTTGAGCAGATGGGGATGTTTTCCCAATTCCTTTCAAATGTGTGCCTCCCTAATAAAAATCAGTGTTACTCCTCACATACATTTTTTATTTCAGTGATCTACTGTGTGTACCTCTGCTGGTACCGGAAAGGAAAGAAACTACATTTTTTGAAATTCCAGTGAAGGGAAAGCAACTGTGTACACATATTAAATTGACCAGTTTGCATCATAAAATGTCAGCCGGGGCTTAGCACTAACAAAGTTCAAATTGTATTTCTACTCCTTTGTTTTATGAACACTAGTTTAATTCCTGTGTCACGGTGTCCATTTAAAGAAAGTCAGGTTTCTCCTTCTAGACAGGGTTTCTTTTAAACTGGTATTTATAATTTATTGGTATATTTATATATCGCAATTTGTGCCCTTAATTATGTACTTCGTTTCAATGTGGTGTTCAATGGAAAGACTTACAAAATGCTAGAAGACCTGGCATTATCACCTCTACTTTTTTCCATTCTCAGAAACTACTAACAATTAATCCTCCTTTCTCTTTTCAACATTGGAACAAAGGAATAAATATTCTAGCATAAATTTTTAATGAGGATGGTCTCTGTTCTTTAGGTTCTTGCTGTCTCAATTTGAGCTACCTGGCTCCTTTATCTATTTTTACTTATATCAACATTCTGCAAAGCATGCCTGTGGCATCCCCTGGGCGGCAATATTGTGTGCACACCCACTGCATAATCTGCTAGATTGTAAGGGCAAACAAAAGGATTGGCTTCCTTTATTTATGCTTTCTATTACAGACTTCATTCAAGCCAGCCTTTAGCAGTTTTTACTGCTTGAAATAGGAATTTGAATATTTCTGATAAGGACGTTTCCTGGCAAAATCTAGGATAATACCCTGTTGTCTAGTATCTCAGACAAATGATTATTTTGATTTTCTTATTGAAGATGTTTACTTATAGATGTTATTATATTATAACTTGTCCCTAGTCACTCATGCACAAAGTTCTGTCCAGATGTAACCCTGGCATTTCCTCCCCTGGAATCATTGGATCCTGGTTTTGATATTATTTATATTGAGATCTCTATTTCTCTATACCTTGGATCCAAGATGGGGGGGGGGGGGTGGACAGTGAGGTTATGGTATGTTTTGCACATGCAGATGTCAGATCTTTTGACTGTACTTGTATTATGGCTGTCTGGCTTCTTTTAGAGTCCATTTGGTGGGAATTCCAGAGGGCCATGTTATGCGCAGTGGCTGAAGGGGAGTGTTGTAAAGGAAAAATAGTTGGATGCAAAAAAGCACGTGTGTTTGTATATGCATGATAACATAGTGTACCTGTGTATCTGTTTTGTATTAATGACTAACATGTAATAAGCAATTTATAGACCCCTAGTTTGAAAAACATGCAATTGGCACAGAAGAATGGAGACATTTCATGACAATAAAAATACAATAAAAGGACATGTTAGTGGACACTTAGACCTAACCATGCTCATTCCTTAAGTTAAAGACTCTTCCTGGACAGGATGGCTAAAACATCATCGTACTGAATGAGGATCTAGTAGTGGTAGCTTGAGCTGTATAAAAATACGTTATATTTCATATAAACATTTATGCTTCATGTAAAGAGTCATGATTGCCTTTAGTACAAGTTAGTAGCAAAATCAGTTTTCTGCAGGATTTGGGGGTTCAGTACCATATTTAATATACTGTATCAAAATGTATGATTTATGCATGTTGCAATTTACTACAGTATTTCCTTTTTGGAAATGCACATACTGCACAACTGTGTCCTGATATAATTGTCTTTTTTATTAGTGGTGTATAAATGTTGTACTCAGGCTATGGAAGTGAATTGGTTTATCCTTGGATACACCACCTTCGTTCTGACGTTTCCAGTCCCCCAAAGCATTAGTTTCATACAGACACGGGTTCTAGTTTTTAAGTATATGATTTGTAAAAACAGTTCTTATTGCTTTGTACAGAATTATTTTCATATACTGTTGTGATTTTTAAAACTACACATACATATTACCCAGATTCTTATTTATTAATTTGGCTGATGCCTTTATGCAGTGCGACAAGCATGAATTACATTTATTTTTAAAAAAAAACAGTATGAAACAAATCCACCATCTAGTAAGGAAGGACAATAATTTGCATTCTGTACTACAGGGGTACTCCCTTTTCTTAGGCAGGATTGTTTTGTTTTTTAAATTATCCAAATTCCACAACAGCATCAGGGCATTCTGTTCCTTTACCAGTCAGCTAGAGATTTGATATGTGGCAGCAATGAAATGATGAAGCGAAGCATGCATTCCCCTGCGAAGCATGCCAGCCGCCTAGAAGCCTGTGTGAACAGCATGAAGCAGGTCTCCTTGCACTGCACTGTTTCATCTCTCAAGGACAACTTTGATACTGAGTGTGTAAAACAAAATCGCATTTATAATATGTAATATATTCCAGTGTATGTTCATTTGAGGTCATTGAAAATCTGAAAAACAGCACTTGTAAAATGTCAACTTGGTAGTATTGAAGCAGCATCTGCAACTTGACGAAGCTGACATTTTTATGACCATTTTTTAAAAGGAGAAATATATTTTACAGTTGTACTTCGTTTAACATTTTTTAAAGATTTAAAGATTGTGGTTACAAAATATTAATGCAGTGATAAAACTTCAGATTATTAATATAATAACAAGTCCCTAAATTTATAACTGTTTTCATCAATATATATTACAGTATGTACAGTAGCATTTTGATACTGAGGAATATTTGCTTTTCACACAGTAAATGTGTACGACATTCCTGTATGGGTAGTGCATGTCCATTAAGATTTGATTAATTGTCATTCATAGAACTGCTGTTTATGCAGAGGTTGATGTTAAAGTATTTGCCCCAAGACACCGATTAAGAGAATGGAAAAGATGCACATTGCTTTGAATCATTAATGACTACAGAGACATCTGCAGCATGCATCATTTTCTCAGCATAAGTTTTTGGGATTGAACATAATAAGGCATTTAACAATACCCACCAGTATCTTCAAACTATATACAAACAGCAGCAATGCATAATTTTGTGAATTATTCTAAAATGATTTGTACTTGAGATTCATGAGTAAGTACTATGGCTGAGTTATAGATGATTAACACTTTCTAAGAACCAGAATACATGCATATGAGTTGCAGAATGAGTGCATGGCTTAAAGAATATATGAAGGTACAGTAGATACTAGACACCAGACCATTTAATTATGAACAAAATTACTAGGGCAAAATAACCAAATATTTAATATAATTATTGTTATAATGCATAAAGTCTCTAATTATGCATGTCTGAATTTTCTTCTATCAGAAACTGCCGAATCAGGAGCAATCTTAAAGTGTCTATGTGTGCTATCTTTGCACGTTTAAAGTAAGATCCAAGTTACACAGGGAAAGCTGCAGAGTTTTCTGTTTCAAAAGCTCTTGGTCTTGGATTGGTACTGTATGAAACCTTTCACTTTCCCAGACTCTTTTTTACCACGACTAAGAAGGTTGTTATTATTGTTTTATGTAATAACAAAATTACATAATAGATGTTTTTGCGTGTGTTGTATTTATGACATTAACGCAATCATTTTAGAAAACAAAACTGATATGGGCATTTTATGCATATTTATTCTGCAACAAAAAGAATGTACAGTACCTCACTTTCTACCTGTGTTTTTTACAGATCTAGTTCCAGGTGTTACAGTCTTGCCTGTACCTCAAAAATCTGTCTTCTTTTTTATCAGTTCTTTTTATTCAGTCCTACTGAATGCATTTCTTACTCAGACTGTTGTAACATCTATTATTTAAAGTTTGTCAATTCATTTTTCAATAATTCATTGTATTTTATTTTCTTAATACAGTACTGGCTGGATCCCTCAAAGACCCTTGCTGAACACAAAGATTTAATAAGCAGTAAGTCTCTGTTGTCCTGTGATTTTTTTTATTGTGTTTTCTGTGACTGAAGATCATATCAGTAGTATAGACAAAGCAGTTCAGTCCAATTAATATTGACATATCCTGGGCTGTACTTTGTGTGAAAAATGTTTATTGTTCTTATAGAGGCACTTTCTTCTATCAAAACAAAAAGGAAACAGTCTAGAGGTTATATCTCAAACTTACAACTAACTCACTATATCCAGTTCTAACAGAAAATGCTGCCATAGACACTTGCCATTTCTTAAGCCTTTTGTCTGCTATTATTATCTTTGTATATAAATTAATTGAAAATTTCAGTCAGATTTTACTTTTAAATCTACTCAGGTCAAATAGTATAATTGCAAATCCAGATCCTAATTAAACAGTGATTAAACCTAAAAATTGCATTGTACATATACTGTATCATGAATTTATGTGCATTTAGCAAAATTATTATTAATTGCCTTAAAAGAGAGTTTTAATCCATTAAAAACTCATTCACACCCCCACATTTTTTATCACTTGCTTAAATGTAGTTATGGATTTGTATAAGCATCTGCCTGTATCAATTCTGCCTTCAATTACTGTGACTTTTTTAATGGGGGCACATAGCACTCTAATGTCATTCATCTCTGTGTTCTTTTTCAAACAGCTTCTGCTTGATAATTATTTGAGAAAATTCTCCCCCTCAGATATTAAGCATTGTCCAGCTGTTTTACAATTTTATGTTTTAAACCTAAGAGTACTGTAAGTCTAACAGGGGCAGCCAACCCTGATGCTGGAGAGATAGGTCCCAAGAGGTTTTAGAGACACCTCTCAATTAGCACCTGATTACAACCCGGAAAATCCAAGTGATTGAATTGTTAACCGTTGGTTCAATTAGGCATTTAAGCTTAATTAAAGAAAAATTAAAGAAAAACCAGGAACAAACAAAATCCAAGAGAAGCTTTGCCTATGCCTATGTATGTTGCCTATGTATGTTTGCAGCTGAGTAATCTGTTTCATATGACAGGCTTTCCGTCAGATTCAACAATGCCCCTATAAGACAACTAAAAATGTTGATATTCAATTATATTGATAATACTGGTTTGCACAATGGCCCACTGTTTGTTCACTTTCTTCAGTATATTGAAAATGTTTTTGAGCATTTTAGTCATGGTTAATTTGACCTAACGTGCTTGGCTGAGGGACAATTTTCTGTGGAGTAAGGTGTGACCAAGGGGCAGCTGCAAAGGTGGAGTTTGGGTGGAGGAGGGATGCAAAAGACATATGCAAACAAGAGAAGGGGATTATGTATAATATTTATATATTTTTTTTAACTTTAGGAAGTGACATCAGGAATAATTACTATGTAAGACAGCTGAGACCAGTGGAACTTGGCTGCTGTTATTCCTCCCGAACTTTCATAGTAAATTTCATATATTATTTTGGTTAATAAACACATGCAAAGAAAACAGCATTTGTTCTGGAGAAAAATCCAGTAAATACAAAATATGTACAAAATATTGTACTTGCAGTTGTATTACTGTGGTTTGTCTGTGTCTTCTGAAATAAATTTACTGAAAATACTAAAACCTGGAGGTCCACAATAAAGACACAATAGTTTTAAGTTTTACATCAGAACCTCATTAGCACATATGTGATGTTTTTTTAAACCAGTTTTCAGCTGTTTCAACCAGTGTGGACCCGTAGGAGGCACTACTTCCTCAGGACTTGAATTTCTAAAACCAGCATTGGTAGGGGAAATGAGCTATGGGATATGAAATTAATTGTATGAGACATAAAACTCAGTGGATGAAGTGGATCACCTCCTGTATCTAAATCACTTTGGAATCCTTTGAAATTAAAATCTTTATAAACTCACTTTATTGTTATTTATTTTTATTATATTTTAAATAGTGAGTTCCTTGTGGTGACAAAACACTGAACCCAAGTCTTGTGATGCCATGAAAGTTCCAAGTGCTCACTATAGATTTTAGTTAAATTTACCAAAGTGATTTGATTTAAAAATAAAAAGACATTCAGACAATTAAAGCAAGAAGAGTCACAAATACAGTAAAACCATGTCTAAACTTAATAGTGAACATTGCGATTGTTAGTGACACGATTGAAGATGGTTTGGTTTGGAGAGACTTTGTCTGGAGGATGAAACTGTCAGAAGCTGATGTTTTGGAATACAGAGGGTCACCATGCTGGCCCAGGACAATCACAACCATATGAGTTCTCTGTGTAATCAGAATGCAGTGGCTAAACATGAGAAATCCCATGTAGAAATAACCCTGAGGTATGAAATGACTTCTGTCTATGGGCAAGAACAACTGAAGTGAAAGCAAAAAAGTGTGGTGGAGGGTTGTATTAATTGATTGATATTTTGCCCTTGATAGACCTTGTAGAAGAACATGTGTGTGAAGATGTGATTAGCATTATGCTGACTGTTTATTTATACAAGTCACCTGATTGGGTTGTAAAAGTGTGGCGAATGGTTGTGGACCAGTAGGTGGCACCCTACTCTAATAACCAGAATTTCAAAAAACTATTTTAATTTCATTTAACAAAAGAATACCTTGGAGGAAGATTGAAGGAAATATTTACAGCTTAGAAATATATAAATGAAGCCAAAAGTTTTTCTGTTACTGCAAACCAATCCAGAAATATCAATTGTAAGTATCAAGCAGATTAGCAATAAAAGTTGTATGTATACTTTTGTATGCTTTACTGAACTAAAGTCTAGTTTGCAGTGATATGCAAATAGAATAATATTTTCTACATACCTAAAAGGTATGAGGTGAAATCACACAGTAAATAAAATACATTTTTGTGGGATATTTAACACAACTTTAAATGGTCTGGATTGAATGTGAAATAGGAACATCATCTGATCTATAACAAAACTATAATGTCTGGTGTATCACCTTAAAGAAAATCATTAAATCGCAAAAATTAAATCAGAATATCTTTTGCATGATATATGCAATGAAGGTGTCTCTATGATGAAAAAAAGTTACAATTGCACAGTTATTTGAGTTTTGTCTCTGTTCCTAGCAGGACCTCCTTACACACTCTACTTTGGAGTCAAGTTTTATGCAGAGGATCCATGTAAACTAAAAGAAGAAATTACCAGGTATTTTATACAGTTTCAATAGTAAATGAAGACTTTTTTCCCTGTTGTTAGAAGGGTAATAATGTGTTCAGCAGTTTCTGTTCATCTTTTAAGTTAGTAATCAAAATGAAGTTGCAATATCATACGTCAGCTTCTTGATCTAGAAATAATATAATTTATTAAAATGGGTTCTTTCTCTGGCATAAGTTTCCCAAATACATGCCGATGTTGTCTCAGAAACATTGTTGCTTTGTTCTTAATAATTTATGTTTGTATACAGTAAAGAAATGAATGTTTGTGTCTTCACTAATGGTGCTGAACCCTTGTCATAAGAATGCTTGAAAAGCCTAATTTGCCTAAAGGTTTTAGAGAGTTGCTAGATAAGTGCATCAAGAAATTATGGAACACTTTGGAAAAGGGCAGAAAAATAACCAAATTGTCATCCATTTTCACAAGGTTTTTTTAAAATGTTGTTTCTGTTCCTCCTGTCAGGTACCAGTTTTTCCTACAAGTGAAACAAGATGTGCTGCAAGGCCGCCTTCCATGCCCATTCAATACTTCAGCGCAATTGGCTGCCTACGCCATCCAATGTAAGACTGCATTGCTTCATTTTGGTCTTCACAAAATTACATCTTTGACTTATTCATTCCACTTAATTTGGTACTAGATCTCTGATATCTATACCTAATATTTGCCACCTGCTATTTTGAAGCAAAGGCTATTGGATTGAGACAGCTTTTAAATTGTGGAAGAAAAAAGGAGGCCAAAATTATATTGGAGACTCTAAATTGAAGGGATAAAAAAGGGCAACACTAACATCATCTCATGTTTTTTCTTCCTTTTCCTTTGCAGCTGAGCTGGGAGATTATGATCCGTATAAACACACAGCAGGCTATGTGTCAGAATATCGCTTTGTCCCAGATCAGAAAGAAGAGATGGAGGAAGCAATTGAGAGGATCCACAAAACTATAGTGTAAGGAAATTCTCTGACTTTATGTTCAGTAAATACCAAATCCTTCTTATAAGAGAATATAAATTGTGTCCAAAGACCTTGCTGAGGCTTAACTGCAATCATGTGGTCCAATATTTCTTAATAAGGAAAGCATATTGTGTGCTTAAACTCCATCGGTAATGCAATATTATTTATAACAGTTTTAAAACATAGCAATCAAGATGTAAGGTACCATCTTTTCATCTAATATTTTCTAATGCTTTACTAAAATAAGTCTTTATTAAGAATGATTAAAATTAACTGTTTTAGCCAATTTAAAATAAAAAGTTAATAATAATAATAATAGTTACTTATTATTAATTACTTATCTAATTATTTTTGGTAGTGCCTTAAAGCTTGGCATAGAAAGAATGTCCACTGTATGTCAACAGGATGGCAATAGTAATGTGAATCCAATACCAAATGATGCTATGTACGTTGTAATAATGATTTGACAGCCTTTGTGCCCTTAAGCTAAAACCAGGATCTTTGTAATACAAGCTGCTCATTGAATACTGTTCAAAGACCCTGTCAGACAATTACAATGCCGACCTATTCTCAGCCTCCTCACCTGTTTGGCATGCTGAAGAAAAATAGATTAGTGGCATAGTGACAAGGCTAGAATGAAAGGACTCTGTTGTGCTGGCAGGGCTGTGCACGCTCTTACAAAGTGATTAACCTAAATTCCAGGAAAGCGAGGACCTCAGCAGTGCCCAGCTTTTTATGTTTCCCCCATTGTCTCAAATTATCATTAACCACTTTCATAGTTGTGCTGTAGGATGCTGAACACATTATGTGCACAGCAGATAACAAAGCAGTAGAAAGTTGCAGGGGATGAGATGGGCTGCTGTGCATCAGTAAAAATGAAGAAATAGACCCAGCTGGGCTAGTTCTATAGTAAAGAAAGAACAAAGGGAGCGAAAATTGGTTCTTAGAATTGGAACAAAAACATTATTTGGAAGAAGCAAAACCTGCCTTAATTCTGTTTCACACTGTGCTTTAATGTTATTGAGTGAGCATATCTTGTTATGCTTCAGTATAATTGGTGAGCAACCTCAGAAACACATTGAAAATTGAAAGTGCTTTGGTTGTGTTGTATAATTTTTTTTCATTGTAAGTGCATCTGAGTGCTTGTTAAATGTTACATATTTCTAAAATTCAACATGAAAAAAGTAAAAGCGGTATATAAAATCTATATATATATCTTTAGAGTATATCTTTTTTTAATTAAAACTAGAAAAATCTTTAACACAGATACACTATGTAAACTAATGTAAAAATAAGGGAATTGTTCTGGCATGGTAAGGTTCTAGGCATAAGAAATAAGATTCTAAGATGATTAACTCAAACACCATCTGTAATTATTTACCCCTTTACGTTTTACGTAACAACATGCTGTGGAACTGAAGTGAAAGCACAAAGAGTAAGGAATCCAGCTAAGCATTAACAATCCTGTCAAGCTAAAAACAAAAAGACGTGTAGGTCTAACAATTTGGAAACTAGACCCAATAAATCACTGTCCAAATCTGTGAGTAAAGTCACTATAGCTAGTAAAGCAGTATTAATCAATCAACATCCTACATTCTTTCTCTTCAGTAGTTTTACAGCAGTCTTTATGATTACAATTATGAATTATCTACAGTAACTGCCTGTTACACATTGTTGAAATGCAAATTGTAAATATTATGTTACCAAGCGTAACTGCTTAGCATCAGCTCATGTGTAAAAGATCAAAGGCAAGCCTTTCAGTGTTGACTGCATCTACATCTACGTGACTACAACAATGTGCCAATCACATTCATCTCTGAATACAGAGCAACAGCTTATCTGACTCTATCTAATAATAAAATCTCATGAGTCGTGTGCCATTGCTACATGCTCCATTTGCAATGCAACAGAACTACTGTGTATTGTACAGGAGAAGTGAAGTGAAGAAAAAATAGTATTGAATCCATTAAAATGTTGCACTTTCCCCAATGGAGAATGGCATATCACTTAGAAAAAGCCCCTGAAAGGGAGTTTTCTTTGGAATTCTGGAAATGGAATGCCTTGACCTTCTCAGGCCATATAGAACTTATAGAAAATAGAACTTTGACAAACCGTTGATGGACTCATAGTTTTATTTTATGCTAGATTTTTTTATTGAATTTTTTGGTAGTAGGACCTTTTTATTACATCACCTATTCCTTTTGTTTTGTGAATCAAAGAGTCTGTGCCGCTTTTTTTCTCTAATATACAGAAGGTTCCACATTGTTTCATGATCTGCAAAATTAAGTTCCTCACTTCTGTAAGCCTGGATCAAATTATTATTTTTTGTAATATATTGGCCTCAGTTTATCTTCCTGCCTCACACAATACATAAGAATATTTGACAAAACTAGGTGCATTTGCATTAGTAATCTGGGATGCCTGAAGTAAACTGTTCTGATGCTCAATATCACAGAAGACATACTTTACAGATATAATACGAGACACTATAAGGTACCTAAAATAGCAAGAATGCCATAGCTATATCTGAGACGTAACTGCATATGCTAAACCGTAGCAGAAGCTGCTGTAGTTTACACTCTTCATTGTCTGCCTCTGATCAGCTGCAATAATTTCAGAAGTGGACCAGTCATTTTTCACAGTACAATGACATATTCCTCTTTATACCTAGTCACTCAATCTGATGCAGAGTTCAAGGGCTGATTAAAAACATCAATTTGCTGGTCTCAAACCCCAAAGCTGCAGGATGTAGTCATTAATAACTACCTTGCTGTTTGGTTGTTTTTTATTTTTTTAAAATGCTAACAAACCTTCAGAGGCAATTTTTGGGTTTCGCCAACAGATGAGTTCTAGAAATGTTTAAATGCATTGATTTGTGCAAGGAATTGCTTTTTCTATGAGTGAAAAGTAAACAAAAACTGTAATACTACTGTACATGTTCAGGCTTCATGCATTAATACACAGCCTAGTTTTTAAACTGGATGTTGTTATTTAACATGCATTGTATGAATTGGCAGCTTACAACACTGCCAGGATAACAGATGCACACAGAAGACAATATTTCATTCAAACCACACAACACACATAAAATGATTGTGAAAGAAAAATATAAAATAGTTCCTTTTGCGGCTTCAGATGAACTCCCACTCTACATAGTTGAAATTATTTAATGCATTCTTTTGGCTTGTGGAAATCTAAGTTTCAGCTTGGTGTTTACGTTAATCAATGATAGCTAATACATTGTACAAAGTTCTTGGGCTTGTTATGCTGGATGGAATTCTAGGAACGTAGAAATGTCTCAAACCCCCAAAGACTGCTGATTAAATAAAGTTAATAATTAAACAGTGAGAGAAGCAGGAGCTAGTTTGTATATTTGCTTTGTACAAAAGGGAATACCATTGCCTGTTGTATAATGTTATGGGTATTAAAGTTATTTTTAAAATTTCAGATTTCTTGAAAATACAATATGGATAAAAAAATGAAAATTGAAAACTGGCATTTCTGGTTGCTGAAGTTGCTACACTACAATTTTGTTGCAATGAAATGCAACATTTGCAAATATACCACTCCCTTCTTTTATCACTGGTTTCATGGTCCAGAACAAATCTGCGATATAATGAGGGTTACAATAAAAATAGAGGAAGCTAGAGGTTGGCTGTAAAAAATACCCAGTGGTCATGTGCATTCATGTAATAACGAGTGTAAAATATATGTAGAAAGAAAGCATCTGGAAACTGATTAATATGACAAAAATGCTGTAAAAATGCTTAACATTTACATGCACTATATTGCTTTATAGAATAGGGCAATCACTGTATCCTGGAAATGCATTGTAAAATAACTATATAATACAATACAGAGTATTACAGGAGTTGGCAGCTTTACTTTGGCAGTAAGATTCTGTTCAGAACCACAGGCTTTAAAGGTGAGAGTAGTCAGATAGAACTGAGTTCCCAGAGAAAGAGGCAGCAGCTACTCTGGCAACGGTAGGACGGTGACCTCAGTGAGGGACATAAGTTTCCTCCAGTTAGTGCCGTACCTCCTGTAAATCACTCTGTAACTTGTTTAATGTCGAAAGATGAGTGGCTCAATGGGTGGATTGGAAGAGTCTGTCTGCACTGCCTTCTTTTTCCTGTGTAAGAAAAGGAGTCATCACTGTGATCACTGTGAGCCAATCGATAAAACACAACTGGGGTTTCCTAGATGGTGGCTAGATAGGTAGATACTTTATTGATCCTGTGAGGGAAATTACAGAAATGGTAGGTATATGGTACTGTAGGTAATTTCATATCTGAGTCACATTGGTTCATCAAACAAGCTATAATTCTGGTTTCCATGGATTTAAGCATATGAGAGAGCACTGAGTGCTCCCCACCTCTCTGGATGGAATGTCAGTCCACAGGGTTTCCCTCAACAATGTTGCTCTTCATTTATACAGCTGGGCTAAAGTACCTCATTTAAGGTACAACAGCAGTGTCAGCAGCTAGGACTTGAACCAACAAGTTATGAGTCCAGAGACTTACCTACCAAGGTATTCTACCCCTAGGCTGTATATATAATAAAAAACATGATTGTTTTAAATTAAAAAAATGATATTAACAATTGCAGACTGACACTTTCCTTTTAGATGTCAATATTAAGTTTGAAAAGGACTCAAGGTTACAAGACAAAGTTTTAAAAATGTATTTTGTGTTTTGTATCCAATTTTATAAACAGTAGTGTATAACAGGTGTATCATTTAATCTTCATTTTTTAATATACATTTCCTTTACTTTTACTTGTCATCTGAGTTTTTTCTTCTCTATTTACCCATCCTCTCAGTTTATTCACCCACTTTCAGATCACAAAGAAAAAAAATATTTATCCTGCAAGTCAACCTTTCTTCTACACACAACTTTTTTTGTACATTTTCTGTTTTATAAACATGCACCTGACCTGTAATAAAGAGCAAGAGGCCCAGTATTGAGCCCTGAGGAACACCAGACTTAACGAGA